AAGACGTGAAAAGTGCTATATCAAATGCAAGGATTATTATTATTATTTCACTTTCTGGACGCTCACCTCACCCTATACAGTTGTTACTCCTCAGTCATTCTTGCCCACACTCATCTTCCTTGTGCCCACTCTGGCCCACCTCACTCCCTTCCACATTATCGTTCCCCACCCTCACTCTTAATAATAATCCTTACATTTGGTACAGCGCCTTTCACGTCAGGAAAACAACTCAAAGCGCTTCACAGAATAGATTGTAAAGGTGCAGTGACTGGTGCAGTTTTATGGGCGAATGCAGCAGCCAATTTCTGCACTGGAAAAGCCCACAAACAATCATGAAATGAATGACCAATTTTATTTGGGGATTATTGGCCAGAACACAACAGCTTTCTCTACCGGCTCCACCATGCCAACCCCATCAGAGCTTCTCTCTCTCTTTTTCTCTTCTCTTCCCGTCTCAGGAGTGTTCCTCCCTCTTGCCCCTAACCCTTTATTTATTAACCTTCTAAAATGCTGCTGGCTAGTGTTGCTGGGCTGATTTCCCTGGTAATCTCTTCTCGTCCATTCAGTAGATCACTTCAGACTGAGTAAAACTGCGAGAGTACATAAATTCAGAGATTTATCTCAGAGTCGGCGCTATTACAATCACTTGGACACTCGATGAATTAAGAGCTTGCTCTCTGGGGGACCCCAACAGACCTAGAGAGTTCCAGGTTTTAAACAATTAAATAAAATCAAATGTTGTCTCTATTTTGCGGTTGTGCCATAAAACTGGTAACCATCTGGCAGAGGGGAAAATGATCGCACAGTTGGGCAGCTGACTAGCCTAGATGGTTCATCTAGATGATGGATAGTCAACTGAATCAGTGAGCTGGAGAGTTTCAGTGGCATCAGAATCATCACCTGATTTTCCAGCAGTCAGCTGTTTGAGAAAGTGGCTCTCACTCGACGCATGAATCAGCCATTCGGCTTCTTCTTCTCTTCTCTACTTTGTGTAATTCTTTTGTAATTCTGGCGCGTAGATTCTTGCACCTCCACAATGCCATGCAGTAAATTCTATCCAAAGGGCAGGGCAATTTGATGATAACCTTTGATAATGTCCTGTGATTTTGGAGTCCGGTAGCGTACTGGTTAGAGTGCTCACCTCGCAAGCAAGAAAAACTAGGTTTGATTCCCTGGCAGGGCTAAACCTTAGGCAACTTTCCTTATTCCCCACACCTGTGTTTACCTAGCAGCAAGTAGGAATGTATTTGGTTGTTAGTCGATTGGCGGATCGCTTTCCAGGGGTAATAATGCCATGAATAATAAATGAATAAATAAATAAATAAATATAATTAGAATTTGGTCGCTGAATCCACAGCTGATGGTGGGATACCACGGTGCGGAATTGGCTGCTGCGTTTCGCTCACAAAATACACGGTCACTACACTTTACAGTATATTGTGCAAAGTGCTTTTGAGAACGTCTCAGCGACGTGATAAAGCTCTATGTCAAATGCAAGGATTATTATTATTATCATTATTATCATTATTAACTTGCTGCGTGGGGTGGTCAAGGAATAGTGGGTTTGAAGGCACTCCCTACCAGGCTGGTGCTCTCACACAATGTGCTTCTGAGGAGGTCTGATTCCATCACAGGGCTTAGCCAGCGTTGTATAACAAATCAAACTTATATCCTACCCGTCGAGAGGTATCTCTTCCCAAGCTGCCAAAACCCCAGATTTCGTAAGGACTTAAGATCAGCAGCGAGCTCCATTCCATAACCCGTTTTATTATCTGAAGTCAAATGACCTTGGGTGGTATAATCTGACAACTTGTCTAGTCGGAGAGAGAATTTTTCTGGTGGGTCTGTTAGCAAATGCTCGTGTGAGATGCTTCTGTAGTATGGTGTACTCCCTGTTGTGCAGGCAGTCAGGTTCAAGTGCTGACTTGTGTTACATTCTAATCTCTGTATTGACAGGTTATGTTTTTTCTTTATTAGCCCTGGAGGCAGACTAACACTTGCAAAGGCAGCGGCAACATTGAATTCATCTGAGAACTTTCCAGTCATTTTCAATAACATCATTTTTTTTTTCCTCTAAAACATTTTTTTGCGTGTTGGCAGAGGAGTCCCTCGTAGGAACCATCTGTCATTCTGTTTTTTTTTCAATGCGCCGTTCTGAATCTTCGTGCTTGGCAAAGTCACTTTTATCTCCGAAACCTTTAGAAGTTTTGGGGCTTCCTGCCGATGTGATCTGTGTAGATCTGCACAGCTGTTTGTTTTATTTTATTCTATTCTGTTCTATCCTCCGCGAGACGATCTGCGATCCGTACGGCTCTGCTTGAAAGGCGGCCGAGTGGATTTTGTTAAGAGGTAGAGAAAAACAGATGCACAAAAGGGGGTTGTCCTCTCGCGAGGTCTAACTAAGCCTGATCGCTGATCAGACTTCCTTGTATTAGTGGAGCAGTTCTGTTCATGTGTGACGCACACACACAAAAAAATCCTTAACAGCAGATTTTGCTGCGATTGTTTTACTTTGTCCTGAGTGAATGTGCCCAGGTCAGCTATCACATAGGATGTCAGCTCAGAAAGGGAGTTGATTTTACACTGGTTTAGGAATACGGTTTAACCCAATTCTTAATAATAATAACAATCCTTGCATTTGATATGGGGCCTTATCACGTCGTCGAGACGGCTCAAAGCGCTTCGCGGAATATACTGCAAAATGAATCGACTGTATATTTTGTGGCCAAACTCAGCAGCCAGTTGTGCACAGCAGCGTCCCACAAACAGTCGTGGATTGAGTGACCAAATTATAACCGAAATATATTTATTGATTTATTTTCCTTGAACTGAACTTCTCTGAATCTGATTGACGTTAAGACCTCAGAAAATGTTTCGGAACAATCAGGTGGACCAGTGTCAAAAACCAGGGATTTGTTTCCATCTGCAGTCACTTAAAATGACAGAAAACTCACATAGCCATGGCCTGGAATTCCACATCGCCTTCGCCAGAAAAAAAACATTTGGTCTTGAAAAACGTTAAAATCGTAAAGAATTGTGGAAAATTGTTACCGTCAGTCTCAATTTGTATCAGAGCATTATATACTGGAGCTGCTTGAGATTGATATAAGATGCCCAGAATCAACAAATGGATCATTCTCAACACTGACAGCCTCTGTCTTGATGATAAAATTCACCTTCCTGTAAAACCAAAAGCTCCTTTATTCACATAATCTATCTTGTCGATGTTATTTTCCGGTGATCAGCTGCAAATAATTTCAGCCGTTAAATCCTCCTACGAAATAATAACAAAATAATAATAATAATAGTTTGATACAGCGCCTTTTCATGTCGTTGAGACGTCTCAAAAGCGCTTCACAGAATATACTGTAAAGTGAATTGACCGTGAAGGGCTTTGGGACCTCCTCCCGACATGAAAGGTGCAAGGATTATTATTGGCGACTCAAGCAATCCCTGCACTGATGTTACTCCGTAACCAGTGGCTAATATCCCATGGGAATATTATCTCTGGGAGAACTCTCCCTTCAGCTCTCCTTCCCACGGAGAAACACTTCTTCATTACTCACAGCCACATATGGCAGCGTGGCTGAGACAGAGAGCTCAGCATCTGGAAATTTACAGGCATGAACTCACATCTAGTTTGCTGTAACGAAGCACATTAATGATTTTCATTAATGTCAGCAGCCCACCCTGAACTGACTCCTTACGCAGAGCCAAGATGGAGTCAAACCTTTTGACTTTGAGATTCCGTGTGTTTTCTTTCTCTTTCCTGTTTTGTTGCTGACCAAACACCGCGCTGGTTGTGCTTTGTGGAACGTTTTCACAAATACTTGGCCCGTTCCCAATAACTCCACAAAGTGCCTTTACTTGTCATATCCGCTGTGCATCAAATATCTATTCTTCCCGATACTCCCACATGTGCATTTTTAAGAATGAGCTTGAGTCCTAATTCTATTAAACTTATTCATATCGACTGGGGCCGCAGATTAGAAGTAAGTTTCTACTGAACATAAAAGAGGCTTATTATGCAGACAAATTATGCAGTGTAAAATAACTGCATTGAAAGTCATGCCAAAGAAACTAGGAGACTATGGGCGGGGCGGAATAAGTTTCCTTATTCCACACGCCTCTGTTTGCCTCGCAGATTCTGTGAAGCGCTTTGAGACGTCTCAACGACACGATACGGTTCTATATCAACTGCAAGGATTATTATTATTGTTATTATTAAGGGACTGGGACTGCAAGTTGGTACTGGCTTGCTCTACTAAGCTATCACTTCTGTAACATTGCCATCAGTATGATACGTTGAGGAATTGGATCTAGTAAATGGACCTAAATAATGGGGGATTGAGGATTATATAGATTAAGTACAGATCGAGGAGATTAATGGCTGTGTGGAGGATGACTAATCTCAGAAAAACCCTGTTGAGAGAGACACCTGACCAGGAATATGACACATATGATTGTTGGCTTTGGGGGAGGATATGTGCAGAAATGAAATTAAATGAAATGGTTTGTGTATCATGCATGAGAGGTGAGCGGAATGGGCTTTTAGTCTCTTATGTTCATTCCATCTCTCTGTAGGTAATTTTGGACATTTGTATATAATGTAATAATAATATTAATAATAATCCTTGCGTTTGATTATAGCGCTTTATCACTTCGTTGAGACGTGTCTCAAAGCGCTTCCCAGGATATACTGTAAAGCCAAGTGACTGTGTACTTTCTGGGCGAAACGCGGCAGCCAATTGTGTGCACAGCAGCGTCCCACAAACAGCCGTGTTCTTATCCCAGGGAGCGTTTCAAATTAAATGGCCAACTTTCTGCGGGTTTTATTGATCTTTGGTAAAGTAAATGTCCCCCCCCCCCCGAATCGTGCTATAACCGAACTAACCCAAGTTAGCATCTCATGTCAATTTAAAACAAAAAAATTGAAGTTCTCAGTCTGCGCTGAATTCAGATGTGTTTCCAATTTTGATTTGGTGTTGTTTGATCTTTAGCAGGTTCAGGGTCAGCTGCCCCCGTTGATGATCCCAGTATTTCCCCCAGACCAGAGGACACTGGCTGCAGCAGCAGCCCAACAAGGATTTCTTTTGCCGCCCGGATTCTCTTACAAACCTGGAGGATGCAGTAAGTGTTTGCAGTGTGTGCGTCTGTGTGTTCGTGTGTGTGTGTCCGTCTGTGTGTATGTGTATGGAGCAGCTACGCTCGTTACAAAGAAGTTCTCTCTCTGATAATAATAATAATAATAATAATAATAATAATAATCCTTGCCTTTGATATAGCGTCTTATCTCGTCCTCGCAACAACCACAGCAACAAATTGTATTTGTACAGCGCTTTTCACGTCAGGCGGACGTCCCAAGGCGCTGGACAGTCAGTGAAATGTCTCAAAGCGCTTCACAGAAATACGCTGTAAAGTGAATTGACTGCGTATTTTGTGGGCGAAACACGGCAGCCAATTGCACACAGCAGCGTCCCACAAACAGCCGTGGGTTGAGGGACCAAATTCTTCTTATTTCTTTATTTTTGAATGGATTATTACCCCCGGAAAAGTGATCCGACAATTGACTAACAACCGGTTGCTACTTACTGCTGGTAAACAGAGGCGTGTGGAGTAAGGAAACTTGCTCAACGTTTCGCCCTGCCCGGGAACCGAACACAGGTCCTCTCGCTTGTGAGGCGAGTGCTGTAACGACTGAGCTACAGGAATCTCTTGTCAGAGTAGGGCAAGTTCTCAGTGGCTCACAGGGCAAAAGCCACATCACGGTATGTTGTGGAGTCTGTCAGCAGACACGCTGGCAGATTTTCAGATGAGTAAGACAGGGACGATGAAGTAATTTAAAGTAGCAGCAATGTTCTGCTGAGGTGTGAAGCTATCACAGCTCATCCTTTGGGCAAGTGGGTGGAAAAAAACTATTCACTTTTTATTAGCTGCATATTTGAAAGACTGAAATACTATCATGCAGAGAGGCACAGATCACAAGTGGTTCCACGTTGCTGTTTAACTGGTATTACAAATGGCACTTTTGACGTGTGGAGTACAACAGTATTTAATTCTTTTTAATGCCTTGTAAAATCATTAGCTATGACTGAGTAATTTTAAATGAGAAGGGATGTATCACTTCGGATACATGCATTGCTCAGATTAGTTAGAAGGCTTCCTAGCCAACGTGATTGAGATACAATTTTGCTTCTAGTACTGCATTGAAGAACAATTTAAAACGCGTGTGGTACAATGACAAATACTATTAGGTTATTTCTTCTATTAATATGAGTGACAGAAAATTAATATTTTATATTAATTAAAAAACATGCATATAGAGAAATAAGCAGGCTATATGGAGGCTATTCAGTGAGTAAGGTAGCTAGCTTTCATACATTGCTCTCTGCAGATTGCAATCATTATGAATTCTATGGGACATGAACCCTATGGAACATGGAGCATGTATGGAGATACATATATGATAGTGGTTCCATGTTATATGCTGTTCAAATTGGACAAGGCCTCAGGTTGGAATTTGATGCCCTAAATTCACACAGATAGGACTGTTGATGTTCAGCAGTAAACAGCAACTGATGACAATAAAACCAGTTTAATTCAGATTAACAACATTCTGATTGAACCCAATTTAAGAGCGTAATTGGCAAATTAACTCATCAGCTACTGTAGGCACCGTAGATCTGTCACAGTCCCTGAACTCGGAAAGAGACTAGATGGTGTCCTATTACAGCTGTGCAAGTGACATTTCAACGGTAGTGCACTGTGAATGGTGTTAAACTAGGCAAGAGTAAAAACAGTCGGAAAGATTAGCCTGTCAAAAGTGAACACCTGATGACAAGTCCCAACAACATAATGATTTGGAGCTGAACCTGTGTTAAGAGAGCTAGTCATAAAAGACCACCTGATATGATTCAGACCTGAATGTGGTCATTATAGTTTCACTGTGTAATATTCTCACTGCGAAATACCCAAATGGTGCAATTTTCAGCAACTTTCATTCTGGAAGTTGGAAGTCAAAATTCAAATTTGGGATCAGGGTGTCTAAAATGAGATAGTTTAGTGAAGTCCTGTAGCTCAGTGGTTAGAGCACTCGCCTTACAAGTGAGAGGACCCAGGTTCGATTCCCAGCAGGGCGAAACCTTAGGCAAGTTTCCTTACTCCACACGCCTCTGACACCTCTGCTTACCGAGCAGTGAGTAGGAACCCAGTTGTTAGTCGATCGGCAAAAATTTCAAATAACTAAATAAATAATGAATTGGGCACTCAATCCATGACTGTGTGGGACACTGCTGTGTGCAATTCGCCTACAAAAAATAAAGTCAATTCACTGTACCGTATTTCCCGTGAAACGTTTTGAGATGTCTCAGCGATATGATAAGGCACTGTATCAAATGCAAGGATTATTTTTATTATAATTGCAATTTCCTTTCAGTGAACGTCAGATTATGAAATTTGCAAAAAGGCAAATCACGCACATACCAATATGGCAAAGTCAGGAAAAAGAAAGCTGGCAAAGAAAAATGTGGAAAACGTGAAAACATTTGGCTCAATGGTTTCTGTCTTTCAGACTTTGCTGATTTGGAAAATGTTTCAAATTTTGCAATTTCGTGAATTTTACAATCCGATACGGTCGCAAACCAGAAGTCGCAGTGAATGGAATTTGCCAAGTGAAAATTAATCGATTAATCAAATGCTTACGTTTGATACAGCGAGCTTCACATTGGGCAGATGCCTCAAAGCGCTTCACAGGACATACTGTGAAATGGAGTGACTGTACTATGTGGCAAAATGGCAACTAATGCAGAAAATTAGGTTTGCAAATATCGCATTCAGACACTCCCCCACCACATACACGTAGCAAACAGAAATGAAAAGGTGCAAAATACAGTGACCTCATTCACATCAAAAAATAATGCTGTGAATCACTTTGAGATATGCTCCCGCCCTAAAAGGCCTTATATCAAATGTAAAGACTAATTAATTTAGTCATTAACTTTTGGTTTGCAAATTCCTCTCATGAGGGTGAATGTTTGAATTGAGAATTCATATAATGGCAACATTCGAAGTAGGGATTATTTATTATTATTATTATTAGTCACTGCACTTCACGGTAACAATAAATTCTGCAAAGCACCTGAGAGAGCTCCGACAAGATGATAAAGTGCCAGATAAAAGGCAAGGATTATTATTTTGACTTGTAGATGGGGGAGCATGTAATGATTCTGCAACCCAGTCTCTTCTTGTTCTCAGATGAACCCTATCCTCTTCAGCTGATCCCAACAACCATGGCTGCAGCGGCGGCAGCTGCTGCCCCAGGACTTGGCCAACTCCAGCTACAGGTAAGACATGGGCCGGTATTGTTGGCATGGACACTTACGAGAGAGTGCATCATATAGACCAGGGTGGTCCAACTGGCGGCCCGCGGGCTGCATCCGGCCCCCTCCCCTTATCTCCATTTCATCCTCCCAACTCCCTCCACAACCCATAAATGATACGCTATGTTTCCGGAAGAGAAACACTGCAATATTGCTTATGCAGCTCTCAGACGTTTCTCAAATAGGGTGTGCGGCCCTCATCAGCCAAAAGGTTGGACCCCCACCCTGAAAAGACCACCGTAAGCTGTTTAATCTTGTCCAGAACAGTATAACCAGATGACACGATTTCTGCGATTGAAAGGGGGGGTAAATTCAGAACAAATCTGCGTACACACTATTTCAGTGAGCGAGTAATGGAACAGGCTCCCTCGGGAGACGGTGGAAGCAGAAAGTGTCGATTCTTTCAAAAGCAAATTACATAGAATTTAGGAAATAATATCTCGGGGATACAGTATATAATTTTGGGACATGACACGTGCAAGCGACCGCCAGGATGGTGGAAGGCGAACTGGATGATCCTAGGTCTTCTTTCGTCTGGCAAATTCTTATGTTCTTAAGTAAGGATGAGTTTTTGGAAGAGTGTTAAATAAAATTTCAGGCGTGAAAAACAACTTGGATAAAACATGATAATATAAGTCAAGAGACTGCCAGGGATAGATTTATCAAGATGTTCAGTCTCGTACCTAGGGCTGTTTATTTCACTGTATGATCAAAATTGGATAAATTTAATAATCAGGATGTGAGCATGCATTGCATCTAATATACTTTTAGGGTAAAGGATTTTTGGGTGGGTAACAAGCATCAAGGAACAAAATTGGAAGGCTGGATCCCAAATACAAAATGCTGAAACTTAAATATTAATAAAATTAAGTAATGTGAAAAATAATAAATTACAACAATTGCATGTTGTAATATTTTCGTCTATGTTTTGAGAAAATGTCTTCTTATAACAAAGCACTTGACTGCAATTTGTAATTTTAATTCACTTTAATAATAATAAAAAAGTTTTAACTTTCGCAAAAGAATCAGAGGGGAGACCAGGAGAATTTTTTAAACGCAGTGATTGTTAGTCTGGAATGCACTGCCAGAAAGGATGGTGGAAGCAGCTTTGATAGTAACTTTCAAAAAGGAATTGGATAGGTAGGTGTAAAGGAAAAAAATTGCAGGGCTTTGGGGAAAAGAGCGGGGAAGTGGGACTATTGGTAGCTCTTTCAAAGAGCCGGCACATCCAAATTCTGAATGGCCTCTTTCTGTTTGTGGGACGCTGCTGTGCGCAATTGGCTGCCGCGTTTCACCCACAAAATACACAGTCAATTCACTTTACGGTATATTCCGTGAAGCGCTTTGAGACGTCTCGGAGGCGTGATAAGGCGCTGTATCAAATGCCAGGATTGTGATTATTATTATTATTATTATTATGAAATGATGCTACTTGCACCTCTCACTCTTACACATTGGGTCAATGAAATGTGTCTCAGTGCACATGCCAGCTGAGCAGAATACCTGAATGAAGGAGCTTGTCTGTGCCCTCTTCCTTCCTCCCTTCCCCCCTTAGAATGCCCACAGCCACTGCTTGCCTCAGGCTACATGTATGTTCGGATGAGATCTGGCTTCACCCAGGCCTCATCAGCGTGTAGCTGACAAAGAACTGTTTTTAATGGCAGCATTAACAAATCCATCAGTGCTTCAGTATAGCACTCCAGAGAGAGAAAGAGAGAGAGAGAATGCAGGATTTTTATAATCCAAATAAAGTGGAGTCCTGTAGCTCAGTGGTTAGAGCCCTCGCCTCGCAAGCGAGAGGACCTGGGTTTGATTCCCAGGCAGAACGAAACATTGGGCAAGTTTCCTTACTCCACACGCCTCTGTTTACCAGCATTAAGTAGGAATCTGGTTGTTGGTCAATTGGCAGATCGTTTTTCCGGGATAATAATCTCTTAATAAAAATTTTCATTTAAAATAATAATAGTTTGGTAACTCAATCCACGACTGTTTGTGGGACGCTGCTGTGCACAATTGGCTGCTGCATTTCGCCCACAAAATGTACAGTCAATTAACTTTACAGTATAGTCTGTGAAGCGTTTTGAGATGTCTCGAAGGCGTGATGAGGCGCTATATCAAATGCAAGGATTATTATTATCATTATAAAATATAAAATCTCTAAAACCCAGAATTAAGGTTTTAATTTTTACCTTTTAATAGTGGTTTTCGCTCACATAACTGAAATCGCCACCCAGGCACGATGACTTCTGCGCTCTCCCATTTTACATATTTTTTTAAAAAAAAAACTGGGACACTAAAGATTTCCACGCCGTTACTTTTATTTTCCAAACACAGAATAAATTTAAATTCTGCCCATTTCGCACAGTTTCCGAACCAGTGGACAATGGCCTTGTTAATCCCCGCCTGCTTGTGCTGTTTCTAAACCTGGCAGTCATCTGCACGAGTGAGTTTCCTTGTGAGGTGAGCTGCGGAAGCCAGGCTGTGATCTTGACTCCAGCCTGTAGGGCAGGTAGATCAACAGCACAGACGATTAATGCAACACAGCTGCAAGCAAGCAAATCATTTGCATATGTATTCATAGCGGAAAATAGAACGAAACAATTACATCCAGCACCATTCTGCTTATTGAAGAATACACTTCGTGGTAACATAATGCAATGTAATGTAATCGAGAGAGAGCACTTTTATAAACTCTCTTTCACGCGCTACATCAAATGCAAGGATTATTATTATTATTATAAAGTGACCATATAGGGTAAAAAGCCACTGTTTTAAAAGACAGTGCATGTGTTTCTAATAATAATAATAATAATCTTTCCATATGATACAGCGTCTTATCACGTCTTCGAGACGTCTCAAAGCACTTCAGAGAATATACTGTAAAGTGTAGTGACTGTGTGTTTTGTGGGTTTAAATAGCTGTTTGGAGATATCTGCTGTATTTCTTTCGCGGTCTTTGCATATGTAAAAGAGCCCCAGAAGTGTTTAATTGTTGCAGGTGCCTTGAAGGAGTGTCGGGGAGATAATAAATTCACTATAAATTTAGCTCTCAATGAGCACTACAGGCTGACTGAATGTCAACAAGACCTTCATTTAGAAGGTTGACCTGAGAATCTTGTCACATACAGAGAGCATGTCAGACAGGTTACAGTCAGCACGTGTACAGTCCATCTTGCTGATAGGGTGAGTGACAGCTCCCGTGTTGCAGAGCTCATAAACGATGTGTAAAAAAAACGTGAACAAAGATGAGAGAGGGGGAGAGAGAGAGGGGGAGAAAGAGAGAGAGAGAGAGAGAGAGCGAGAGAGAGAGAGAGGAGAGAGAAAAAAATGCCAACCAATTTGTGGTTTGGCTGCTGGAAAATAAATGATGAGAAAATTATGCTGAAGAATGAAAGAAGACTGCCTGTGCTTGCACAAGTTCGGTTTTGAATGGAGATGTATTTACTGGTTGATGACCTGAGGATGATGTGAGCACCCTACTTCTGTAATGAACAGGAATCCGAAGCCGTATAAAGAGGGTCAATCGAATAGGTCATACATCATATGGGGAGGCAGATGTTGGAACATATTGTAATGGATTACTATTCTGTACAAGGATTGGCTTGTGGTGAGCAGATCAGCCGGTGCTTAATACTTTCACTCTAGCCTAGGAACGTAATGAATTTACCTCAATAGCAGCAGCTGGAGCTGTTATCCATGATACAATATGCTGCCCCTTTTCAAGGGTAAAAAGCAAGCAAAAACGTTAGGTACGACTAATGAGAATTATCCATCTACCTGTTGTCATTTTCGCCCGCAAAGATATACAGTCAATTCACTTGACAGTGTATCCTGCAAAGAGCTTTGAGATGCCTCAATGATGTGACAAGGCGTTATATCGGTCATTTTCAACCCACGACTGTTTGTGGGGACGCTGCTGTGCGCAATTGGCTGTCGCGTTTCGCCCACAAATATACGGTCAATTCACTTCACAGTCTATTCTGTGAAGCACTTTGAGACGTCGAGAAGACGTGAAAAGCGCTATATCAAATGCAAGGATTATTATTATTATTATTTAATTGCTATCGTAAAATTCAGTCTTAACCCTTGACAACTAGTAAAACCACAAGGTTAGAAGACGCGGTGACTGAATCTCGAACAAAACAAAAATAAACCCTGCCAAATTAGCTTTTCATGGAATCGGACAGATTCCTTCCCACAGGAGAACAATCAGCCCACCAGTCTGCAGTTGTCTCCATAATGTACACACAGCCAAGTATTCCCTGTCTATGAACCAGAAGAGTTAGTATATTAGCTGGAATTCAGAGTTTATAATAATAATAATAACAACCCTGGCATTTGATACAGCGCCTTATCACATCTTCGAGACGTCTCAAAGCGCTTCACAGGATACACTGTACAGTGAAAAATCTGTTTTTTGGGGTGAAAAGCGGCAGCCAATTGCGCACAGCAGCGTCCCACAAACAGTCGTGGTTTGTGTGACCAAATTATTATTATTTTTTAAAGAATTATTAACCCTGGAAAAGGGATCCGCCAATCGACTAACAACGGGGTCTCTACTTACTGCTCAGTAACAGAGGCGTGTGGAGTAAGGATATTTGCCGAACGTTCCGCCCACCGGGAATCAAACCCAGGTCCTCTCGCTTGTGAAGCAAGTGCTCTAACCAGTAAGCCACAGGGCTCCAAAACCTTACATGGATAAGGCTACCAACACCTGGGCTTATTTTAATACTTAATCGGGATATGGACATCAAGTTTTGGTTCCAAGATAAGATGGAGTCCTGTAGCTCAGTGGTTGAAGTCCTGTAGCTCAGTGGTTAGAGCACTCGCTTTGCAAGCGAGAGATCTGAGTTCAATTCCAGGCAGAGGGCGAAACCTTGGGCAAGTTTCCTTACTCCACACAGAGCCTAATAATAATCCCTCCAAAACCCAAAACAATAATAAATTGGTCATTTTCAATCTACG